CCCATTTTATAGATGGGAGAACCAAGGTGCTGAAAGGTCAAGTATCTTGACCTTTCAAAGGACTCAGTTAGAAGCTCTCTCTACTGTAGCATTCAGTAGATGTAGGTATAAACTACTTCCATAAAAGGCAACAAATTACTTCCTTATCACCAACTAGATTAATTTTTAAATAAATACCTGTGAGCATTTTATGCTTGTAGTTTCAAATTATTTTCTCTCTTCAAAGCACCTTTTTAAGTGAATGGTTCTTAAACCATTGTATGATCTACGTTTGTATGATCTAAGGGCCATACAAACTCAACACGAGCCATGCCACCTTCCGCTGGAAAGGGGAAGGGCAGTTTTCACTTGAGTGTCAGGGAGGGCAAGGCGAACATCCCACCTGCAGTTGATGCCATCTAGTCCCATCATGTCTGCTTGCTTTACTGTCTTTTTAACCTTATTTTTATTGAATACTTGCTTTTTTTTTTTTTCTCAAAAGGACTAAAATGTGCACCTGAGCTTCAACGTGAGAGGTTCAATGTCAGGTCCAGCATAGCAACAGCCCCACCGCCAGTTCTTAGCTCCAGCTGCCTTCTATCTTATCTCCTTTCTTCACCCGCGTCTGAGTTAACGACTCAGCACGGACTGAGGTGTCAGGCGCTGCGACGGGTGATGGGTACCGAAATGAGGTGATGCTGCTCTCCGGGAGTCTGGTCGCACAGCTCGTCAGCATTCTGCACGGCTGTTCTCTCTGCCTTCTCCACCCCTTCCTCCTCCCTCTGCCCTGGGAGCGGATCTCAAGCCCGGTCCGCCGGGTGGCTACTGCTTCCGTGAACCGGCTGGAGGGTGCACCAGCAGAGCCCGCCGAGTCTGGGGATCAAAAGCGCGTGGAGGAAGACCCCTGGAGGAAGCCAGAGGGGCCCTCGGAAACGCCGTTGGCACCGCCCGAGTTCCCAAGACTGTATTTGGAGGGAAGGATGAAAAGCTAAGAAAGGAAGTTGGACTAGCCAACTGCATGGGATATGCGACCCCTTTTCTGGCGGTGTGGGGTCGTAACCCCACAACCTTCCCTGTGCCGGGTCTGAGAGCGCTGGGCGGTGCCACAGCGGCACACGCGCCGGGAAAGGGACGGCGACCCTGGGGGCTGTGTGTGCCGAGGCTCGGAACTCGGAGCCCTCTTTCTTTTCCTCCGCCTACTTCCCTAAACTCTTCCACGACGGGGGCAGGGGAGGGTGGGATGGGGGCTGAGCAGAAAAGCCACGGAGAGGCCTCCCCTACTCTGTCTGCGGGCTCGAGTCCCTCCCCTGCCCAACCTCTCCACCCTGCGCCCATCCTGTGCTAGCCCTTGCCCCCGCACCTCCGTGCCCCTACCGCTGACGGACTTCCAATGAGCTGGGCGGGTAAGACCCCAAACAAAACGAAACACCTTCCACTGGAGTGAAGGGGAAATCTTTGCTGGCCGGTGCCCAGGCACCCTCTGCACAGCCGAGGAATCGAGGAATCGAAGGAGGCTTGAGTCCCAGGTGCCCCGATTTCTCTCCTTTGGGGACCAAAACGGAGGCAACAGCAGCCAGGCCCAAATCCACTCAAGTCTTCATTCAGTTCATGGCCTGATGACCGAACTCTGTCTCTGAGGGCCCGGGGCGAGCGCGGACACGTGCGCACACCAGGGTAGCACGCACCTTTTATTTTCTGAGCATGAGTGGTTTGATTTCCCGGCTATCATTTAAGCATTAAGAATACACTGTGTCACTGTGAAGTGAATGGAAAAGTAAATGAAACTGGAGTCCAGAACATGCAGCCTCTTAAAAAAAATTCCAAATATTTTCTTTCCGTCTGCAGTAACTCCTTTAGTTTCTCTAATGAGACAAATCCCAAAACAGTGACTCTCAAAGTGTGTGGTTCAGAGGCCAGGAGCTTTGCCTGGGGACTTGCTAGAAATACAAATTCTAGGGCCCCACCCCAGGTTTCTTGAATCTGGAAGTCCAGTGATGGAGCCCCACAATTTACTGCCACCAGCTGTCCGGGTGGTTCTGAGAGACACCAAAGAAGTCTGCATGGGCAGCGTCTCCCACTGGCCACTGGCTACAACCAGCCACTATCAGACTTTGTTTACTGCATTTTTTTTCAGAAAAAAAGTCTGTGATTTGAGAGTGGAAAAACCTGCTGGCCAAAGGAGTTACTTGTAAAAAGTCATACAAGCAATTATGGGGGGGGGCGGTAAGGGAGGGAGGGAGAGAGAAGGGACTTCCCCAGCTACAGTCCATTTGCAGTATCTGTCCACTCCTGAGAACTCCCAGACACACGCTAATTTGAAACACTTCATTCTTCCAGGCTTCTACAGCCTGTTTCAGATGTTCTCCGGGTTCTTTCTGAAAGCACCTTCTAAGATAATTTTCATAACCGAGAGGTCACAAACAGAACACTCCTCACCCCTCACCCCTAACTACATTGGCTTGTGGCAAAGCAGGTCGGTCCTCCTTTCCTTCTCAGGCAGCCTGCCCTTCCGTTGAAATCAAGACACACAAAGTACCCAGGCAGGTGGCAGGTAGGCTGGGGGTGGTGCAGCCCTGCTGGAACAGACCCCAGGAAAACAATAGTTATGGAGAAGAAGGCTGTGGTGGCTGTGGGAGTGCTGATCTGAAAAGAGAAGGGCCATGGGAACGGAGAGATGTTTAGACTGGATTCCTGTGTGGAGCAGTGTGGGGTGGTCGCAGTTTCCTGTTCTTTGGGCTAGTGGTGGCCACAGCACAGTAATTCACACCGTGTTGCCTGCTCCTTGTAGTGGACAATCATGTAGTCTCAAGTGCGTCCAGGTTCCAGAGCTGAGCCCCTGTGGGTGGGGCTTGCCAGCAGTCAGACACCCATGTAGCCCTTCTATTTGCTGGTCTCATGCATGATCTTTGCTCTCTGAATTTTTCTGGATTCAAGATTTCTAGGAAACAGCCACATTTGTAAGGAGCTCTGGACAAATTCGGAGAACACTGGAGGAGGGTAAAGGGCGGGGGCAGGGAGAGAGAGAGATTGTTGTGAGGTGCGTTAAAACATAGCATCTGAAGGAGGTGTTTTGGTTCATGTAATAAAACACATGACTGTGATTGCCTGGACAAGATAAGCATACTCCTGAGCTTCATGCCTGAGACACTTTCAGGTTGGGTCTAACACAGCTTACCACCCACCACTTAATACAAGTTAACTGATATTTGCATGGATCCCTTCCTTTAGAAATCAATTGCACAAATATAATGCCTTTTGAGGCCCACTAACACTTTAGGAAGCAAAAGAGGAAAGTATCATCATCATCATCATCATTATCACTTTTATCCCCACTTGCAGAGATGAGAAAACTGAGCATCCACTCTCTGTTGGACACAGAACTAGGGTCTGACCCACGTGTTGTGTATTCATAACCTTATGACTCAGGCTTAAAGCAAAGGTTTCTAATTATAGGTAGGAAGCACCAGGACTTTTTTAGACAATCCGTTTGCAGTTTAGGGTCGTCAGAGAATGAGCATGAAGTTTTTTCTCTATGTGGCTGTCTGCATCGAGTGCTCAGAATTTTGAGCTTTGGGTTTTTGTTTTTTTTTTAAGAAAAACAAAACACGTGAGTGGGAACTTAGAAAGTATGCTGAACTGAAACACAAGAAAAACCCTGAATCTCGCTGGGACTCATCTCTGACTTGAACTCCGGGTGGGTGGAGGTGAGGTCAGTGTCCTCTGGTAGGAGTGACGGAAGGGGCACAGGAATTTGGGGAATAAGGAAGAGGCCAGAGCTTGAAATGGGCTCTTGAAGGTCAAGTGTGGGGCTAGGGGAGTGGTAGGATAAAGTAACACCCCCAGAAGTCCTCAGAGGTGCCTTTGACAGGCAAGCGGATGAGGAATCACCCAGTTCCCAGCCCCTGGAGAATGAACTGCACTGTGTAAGGTGGTAACCGAGCACTGGCAGAGAACGCCCCTGGGCGCACTGGTTCCGGCTTCTTGACAAGCTCCTTCTTCGAGGGCCAAGCGGAGGGCTGCACCTCTAGGCCACCTTTGGGGTTAGTAGAAGGTTAAGTGCGAGAAGCGAAGTGGAGGAGCTCCTACTCCAGGTACTAAAATGAATCGAGAAAAAGGAAAAAAAAATCGAAAAGAAAGAGCAAACGAAGCGGAAGTTTCAAGGCCCTCTGCGAGGAATAACAGTATAAATAACCGAAGACGTCTTGTAAACACTGCGGTCATAACCCCGAACATTAAACAGCCCTGGTGGCATCTGGCTCATCGGCCGCTGCGGGCTGCGCTGGGGCAGCAAGGGAACCAGGTCCCAGGCTCCTCGGCCTCGCCTCTCTGTTTATCTCAACTTAATCTTCCCCAACGAGCTGTTCCGTAGCCTGGAAGATGTTTAAATTAAAACCCAGTCCGCCGGAAGTCGTGGCGGGGAGCTGTGTGCACTGGGTAACCTTAACCGAAAGGCAGGCAGGCAGGCAGGCGCTGCTGTTCAAACGAATTAATTATTAATAAGAAATACATAATGTTTGTTGCAGCACTTTGAAAGTCGGAAAATACTTCTTAAGGATTACGGAATTTGTATTTTTCATAGTCCCCTTATTTCTTTATTGTTTTGTGACTGTGGGTTACACGTCCTCCTGTGGAAAGTTATCAAGCACGAAGTTCACCTTCCTGCTCCTGTTAGCAGTGACGTACATTGCGGAACACACGAAAACCAGGTTTTCCTTTTCTGGTGTGCTTCTCTCTTGAACTGTGTAACTATTAATAACTTGAATCCTGCCCTTTCTTTGCTTACAATTACTTTATTTCTAATTGTGTTAGAAGTAACCTGGAAACCCGAGAGTCAGAGGTTTCTTTTCTTTCCTTTTAGTTTCGGTGCACCGTGTTGTCTGTACAGAGGAAATCATATCGAACCCTCTTCTACCTCAGGGGTTTGGATTGAGATTCAAAAGAACAATTTTTATTACCAAACTTCCCCACAGTCCTCTGCTTTTCTATTCCAAATATTTTTTTAAGTCACACAATGTCAGGGCTTTTTAGCAATATAAAGAAAGATTTATTTTTGAAAGTAGCAAAACTTGTTTGAAAAAATATATATCTTTAAGTGAATTACTTTATAAATGTGACTGTTAAAGTCAGCTATTCTATGATCTACATTTTACAACACACTGTACAACAGATACAGATCGATAGGCTCTTCTTATCTAGTCATATATTTATAATTACATATTGCACTTGGACCAGCAAGGCTCGCAGAGTCATTCACGTACAAATTAATAAAGTTAAATAGATGGGAGTCTTTGTAAGTACAATGGATCTCCTCTGGTTTGGAAACGAATCTCCTCGTCGCTGTAAAGTGTTCTCGCAGGGTGGGACAGAGAGAGGAGCTTGGCGGGGGAAGCAGAGGCAGAGAGCAGGGAGGGCAGGGGTCGCCTTCCCGGGCCGTTTTCCCGGGGAGCACGCCGTTCCCAGACTCGCACCTCCAAGGTCAGGACGCTGTGGTTCCACACAAGCGGCTCGCGGTCACCACTTCTTTCAGGTCACTCTCGGGTTTCCCGGCCACCATAAAGGGCCACGTCTGCAGGAGAGAGAAGGGTGGAAGGAGGTAAGTGGCCGTTTGGAGGAGGGGTGGGGTGGGTTTCCAGGCTGACGAAGGGAGAGGGCGCCGTGGGGGCAGGCAGTGAGTCCGACCGAGCGGTTATCTCGGCAATTTACTCGGAGTCCCGGTGAGCCTCGTGGCTGGATAAAGCAAAAAGCAGCCCTGGCGCCAAGGCACAGCTCCGGGGGCGCCGAGCAAAGAGGAGACCGCTTCTAGGATCCGAAGTGAAGCCCAAGGGAGGAAGCCCTTCGGAAAGCCCAAAGTGGCTCGTGCCCTGGCATAAGCAGAGGCAGATGCCAACGTGAGGCCGAGCGGGCAGGCCCAGAATGACCTCGGGCAGGCCGGGCGCCGGGTTTGCGCGAGGCCGTTGTCAGGTTTCCTGGACCTCCAGCTTGTATCTCCATCTATCTCCCCCTGCCGACTTTGTTTCCTGCGCCTCAGATGCGGGCTTTGACCAACCCTGTTTCTAAATTAATTGCTGTCTCTTAAGGGAAAAAAGAATACCAAGGAAAGAATACACATGCGTATTCATTTTAGGATCGTCTTCCTACCGGCCTGAGCAAGCATAACCTCTTCCCTTCTCCGTGATGTTGTGTAAGGAAGCCCACTTAGGTTTCTTGTTCAGAGATGAAGGCAGCAGCAAGTTGTAAATGAAGGTAGTACTTTCATTTGACTTCCAGATTTTAAACAGCTACTTACTCATCTCACGCGAAAAATAAACTTTTAATTGGAAGGGAAAATATTTTCCGTGGCAAAATGTGGCTTTGCACCTCCTGGTTCCAACTCGGTGAGAAGACAATTCAAATCTTCAAACCCCTCTTACTAGTGCTGGCAGATAAGATGACTCTCAAGAGGAAACCCTCTTATTCTTATCATGTATAAACAGAGATGCTAGTAAGCTGTTTTTCTTTAGAGCCTGTACGTTTTAAAATTAAATCAAGTGAAAAGGAATCAGATATATTTCTTAAACAGTAAAATGCATTTGAGAAAAAATATTAGGCTCATTGAGCATTAGTTTTTTAAGGTACAAAATAAAATGTTCTTAAATTTTGAACGAAAGTGACCTTTTTAATATTATTCATTACACCAATACTCGTGAGAATGTGCTGATTACGCTGATATTTGCTAGAACTTCTGGGATTAAAAAATGTCAATACACTTATAGGAGAAGCACAGCACATTTAAGTAGTTGGAGACTTACTTGACAATTATACGAGACATGATGTTCCCACATCTAATGGTCTTATATATGCTTGAGAGAGAAACAAGAGTTGGGTGGTTTTACTTACAAGAATTAGAGGGAAAAATCGAGTTCCTCTCTTTAGCTAAAAGAAGAATAAAGGGATTAATAACAAGCCTCCTCGGCGCGCAGCATCTTGTCCGCGTTCCCTTCCCGCACCAGTCCCTCCACTCCAGCCCTCATGGCTCGGGTACAAGGGATCCTCCTCTTTGCCAGCTCAGTACACTTGCGAACTCCTAAGTGGGCTGCCACGTCTAACAATCTCATAAATCACCCCTGCTCTGGCGGCTTGTAAGGCAGACAGCGAGGGCCGCGCGAGAATCTCCTGCAACGGTCCCTAGAGGCGCTGGGCTGGTGGTGGCAGAGGCGCGGAAGTCCCAGCCGCGAGCGCACGCTCGCAGACCGCGTGGGGCGGGGGCCCCCGCCTCGTCGCAGCCGCACGAGAGGACTTACCAGGTTGACCGGGTGGATGTAACCGTTCTCGTACTTGTCGTTAGCCAGGATCTGCCTCAGGTGGGCGATGTAGCTGGACGCCAGCCTGAGCGTGTCCAGCTTGGAGAGCTTGGTGTCCGGGGGCACCCAGGGCAAGGTGGTCTTGAGCCTGGAGAAGGCCTTGCTCAGCACCCGCATCCGGGCCCGCTCGCGCGCGTTGGCTGCGTTGCGCTGGACCTGCTTCCCCTCCTGGCTGACCCCGCTCAGGGGGCTTTTCTTGGTGGGCGCCTTCCTCCTCTTGCCTAGGCCGCCGCGGCCCTTCTGGGGAGACCCAGTCTCGCAGTTGGAGCTCTCCTCGGTGCTCTCGTTGGAAGTCACAAACTCCTTGTTCGAGTCCATTTTCAGCCCGTCGCAGTCCAGCATCTCCACTTCTTGGAGGTCCTCCACGTCGCTGAGGGAGCCGGTGGACATGTTTGCGGGAGAGGAGGAAAGGGACAGAGGGAAGGGAGAAAGGAGAAAGAGACCCGAAACCAGTGGGCCGCCCTGGTGTGCAGTGCGGAGCAGCCACCTCGTGTGCGGAGTTGGAGTTGGGGTTCTGGTTGGGTCTCACACCCCTTTCCCCTTCGCAGAGTTGTGAGAAGGAACCTCCACGGCTTCTTTGGGAAGGAAGCCGACGCTCTGTTTCCCCACCCCCGGAGTCGTGGCCGTAGAGGAGTGTGAGAGAGCGCTGAGGAATTTGGTGGACACTAGGAATTTATCTGGGGAATAGAGAGGCGGATCCTTGCAGCCCAGGGGAGGGGCCTGCCAAGCCCCAGCAGGGCTCTAAGACCCCTTTCACAGCCGGAGGGAAACTCTCCCTCACAGGCCCTGATTTCCAGCTTGTGATGTAAATCAGTTCAGACCCAAAGCTTAAATGCCCGTCACCTTCTTCCACTTCGGGATGGGCCCAGGGGGAGCAGGACCCAGCTACAGGCCCTCTCCGCGCTCATTGCCCATCTCCCATCTCCTAAGGCCTGCTTCCCCTCTGAACAGGTCATAGATGGTTGTATGTAGCGGACTTTAGAGAAATGACCAGATCTTTTGTTCTTTCTGGGGCTTCCACCCACAAAGCATCTCTTCTTGCCGCCTTCCCTCCAAGAAAACACCAATCAAAATCCAGGCAGAAGCCCTGGCTGGGTAGCTCAGTTGGTTAGAGCATTAGCCAGACACACCAACGTTGGGGTTCCATCTCCTGTCAGGACACATACAAGAATCAACTAAGGAATGCATAAATAAGTGGAACAACAAATGGATGCGATCTCACACACACAAGCAAACAAACAAAATCCAGGCAGAGATGAACTACCTCTTGCCAACAGCCTATAAGACTACAACCTTACCAAGATATCTTCCAGCCTTAACTGGGGAAATTCAAGAAAACAAGTGCTTCATAGAATCTGTAGGGTGCTGCCAGAGGAAGTACTAAGAAATTCACCTGCACCCGGTCACTTTGAAGACAGGAAGAAACTGCTTGTGTGCACACAGACACCCCCATCGCATACCCGCGCACAACCACGCGCATCGCGGGAGTGGGGGAGATGAGGTAGAGTAACACGAGTGTGTGGAAAGTATTTTGTAAGGTGATAATCTTTTTCTTAATGGAATTAAAACTGTTTTCTAAATTTCTTTCTACAAATGTGTTTAATAGTGTCTTAAGAACCTCAGTTGCTCTCAGATATCACCTGGCCTGGGACTTCCTGTTTTCTCCCTCCCAGTGCTACTGCCTTTTCCTTCTCCTTACATCCTCTCTGCCTACCAGGGTTCCTCACGTGAAGCTGGCGTTCCAAGACACTAAACAGCATTATCCCTTTGGGAAAGGTTCTTTTCCATTTCTGACTACAGGCTGGACCATCTTTCCTAGAGAATCAGACAATCTGGGGAGCAAGTAGAAAGGCAAAAGGAACCAGAAACCAAGGGGTGGCATGAAATTGATGAGATGAAACTGGAGAGACTGAACACATGAATCTCTTCCTAGTTTTTTTTGCCCGGCTTTCTTTCCTTGCAATTAGGCGCTGAAGAAGAGGGGACGAAGCAAAGTGTAAGAGTGGCATCTGAGCCTTTGTCTGGGAGTCTGCACCCCTCTCTTACATTAAGATATCATATCTCTAATCCTGGGCTCAGCTGGGAATTCACTAACCTCTAACGTTTTGTTTTGTTAGCAGGGTCTTGTTTGCTTTCTCCCTATGCTGTAAACTAAACAGATTGTCAGCAAATCAGTCTTTATTAATGAATTAGTGAACCCCCCGCCCTCACCACCATAATATCTTTGCCCAGGATTCAAAATTTGTTAATCACCAGTATGGAGATTTATGGGCTCTCTTCTTTTCTGTTGTTTGTGCAGGTGGAGATTTAAATGACCATATCCACCACCAAGATTTATTGCAAGAGTGATTGATGTTATAAACCAGGAAAAAGACTCTTCCCACAGCAGGGATGACAGAAATATCAAGTTGAAGTTGCCTTTGTCCTCATGCACAAATGACACAGTACTAGAACGCAGAAAGCGCAATCATTTAATCTGAGATCCAAGACAACATTAAGCGAACACCCAGCAGGCCTGTCACACTTTCCCCTACTAAGTCCCAAACTAGTTTTCTTTGATTTTCCCTTCCTTGTCTCAGTCTTGGTAAAACATGAAAGTTAAAGTTATTTTTAGACTAAAAGAAGTGTGTGAAATGGGCTTTGACCACTACTTTGTGAAAATGTGTGTGTGTGTGTGTGTGTGTGTGTAGCCACTGAGATATATGCAAAATAACCATAGATAATTTATTTATTTGGTCTCCAGAGTGGGATAATGATTAAGAATCAGAACAACGGCCTTACCATACACCAGGCCATGAAATTATAAAGACTTTGCTTCTTGGAGCCACTCTTCTTTGGGGAAAGGAAGAGGGTGTGGTTTTCTGCTGCACCTTAGTTGGTAGGCTTGACAGGCTATTTGGGGGATAGCAGCAAACAAAGCAACACATACCACTGAATAGATTTCTAATGTCTATTTTTCCCAAGGTCTGCAATGGAAAAATAACAATTTCTGGAAGTAGGCAAAACTAGCTTCATGCCACATACTGATTTTTGTGCCTAGCAATTATTATTATTTTTAGATAAGCAAGAATTAAATATACTCACCCTGCAGTGATACATTTGGGATGGGAAGGGTAAATGAGTTGATAATGAACTTTGAGATGTTTGTGAAAACACCCTAGGGGATGGTTGCCAGTTTGGGAGCAAGATGTGAAGAAAGCTATTATTTAGGTATCTTGAGAAGTCTTGAAGAAAGTAGATTAATATGAATAATACTTTTTTTTCTCCTGACATTTTGTGCCTATTCTGGCTAATAAACACTAACGGACAAATGGGAGAGGGAAATGACTTATTGTTGGATTCTACTAAGAAAATCAGGGAAGCTGTAACTAAAGCTGTGCCAAATCCTTTCAAAATATAAACTATATTCTGTGAGAAGAGAAGCACTTCGGAGAAACTGTATTAACTCTTTCAATAACAAGAAAACTACTTTGATCATTACTGTTTCAAAGCACCAGAGAGAAAACTAGTGATTTGAAAACCTGCAGTAGATATTAGAAGTTCTCACCTTTCTTTCAAGAGAGTGTTTGTGCACCAGAGATATCTGGTCGCTTTGTTGCGCACTGCTGACAATTTGTTTTTCAAGAAAGACTATCTCTGCAGGATTCCAGTGCAGAGGCAAATTTATCTCCAAAAGTTATAAAATAAAGATTAAGCATGGAATGTATCCTTGAACTTAAATCCTGGTTTATCAACTGATATATTTTCAGGAAGTTCAAATTTGATTCAGTTGCCCTTTGATGGAATAATTTGCCTTATTTTTTTATGAGAAGGAAAACATCACAGGCTTCTTTTGAACTGACTTCATGGACCATCACATTCTCTTTCCTAGGGAAGAAGAATGCGCTTTAAATTCAAATTTTAATCTTTGAAAAAGCTCATGCATCCCGTTATTTGCCCAAGAGGTGCACAGGCTTGCAAACTGGCAAAACTGCTGATTGTCTCTTTGTTCCCCACTTCCAATGAGCACTCCTTGGTATGTGCCCTGCTCTTTATTTGGTGCTAACCACCACCACTGCCCCCTCCTGTGCAAATTGGTGCCTCTTTCTCTATTCGACTAACGTGTCACTGTGTCTTTGGCTTGCTGCTGACTGGTTTACATCTTCTGCTCATAAGCCCACTGAAATCTGACTCTATTTTATTAAATTTTAACTTGATTGTAAAGTGAGCACTATTCCCCACTACTTGTGCCAAATTATAATGGTTCTGGCCTGTTGTATTGGCTGCCAAAGTGAATAGAGCACTAGTGAGTGCTAAGGAGGTCATAATGTTGATGTGAGGTGCTGCTGTAATCTTTGCCCAGTATCATTTACGACTAACAGGTCATGCATGTGTTCAGTTACCCGAAGTCCTCTTGGTGTCCATTGTACTCTAGCTCCCTCTTTGACCATGCAGTTCAATGAACTGTAGGTCAGATGCCACAACACTAAGATACAAAGTTGTCTAACAACAAAAAAGTCTAGACAAAGACACACCATGGTTCTTTAGATCCAAGAGGAAATCTTGACACCCATACACTCCAAAATAAAACTTTGAAAGCAGGCAATTCTGCACATGAAGGGTGAAGTTTACGTTAAGGAGCAGGTGGGCCGAAGGAAACTCAAGCAGATAGTGACAGGTAAAAACTTCACAGATCCCCTTTAGTGTTCTCCTAATTCTTCTAATATTAGGATATTTTTTATTAGACTCACTTAATATTAGGAAAGAAGGGAGAACAAACTGAACAACTCTTCATTGTCCTACTTAGTGTAGAATCTGTCCTTTCTGTTGCCACGACTATAGGAAGAACTGCTATATGACGATCCTAACAGATATGTGTGCCCCAGACTTCCACCCTAACAGTGAAGTTTTAGATAAACTTCCTTGAAAGATGACTTTTCTGTTTTTTTTTTTTTAATGTAAAGCTTGAGAATAGAGCCTCCTGAATAAAGCTTGTGGATTACATGAAAGATACCTGTGAAACACTATTATATGAGAGCGTGTTAAATATGGTTAATTGATGGCTAGAAAACATGCAGGCCAACTTGCTGTCCGATTCCTGCCAATCAGGTGAGGTGAAGACGGGCACTAGAATAAGAGACTTCTTGGTGATTACCTCTTTGGGATTATGTCCTTGTGGCAGGTGCTCTGAGTCTGGAGGAGCGAAGGGTCATGGAGTTTAGCACCTGAGATCAGCAGCAAAGTACTGAGAGTGTGAATTCTGATTTGAGGAACATAGAATATTTCCATGTGACACAGTATTTGACAGAGAATCCCAAAGTCATTGAGTGTCAGAAATGGGAGAGGCTGAGAGCCAAGGAGGCCCTAAATGGCCAAGAATTCTGCACAGGTTCATGTAAGTCATCAGAAATAGTGTTGCCACTGGAACCTGATTTGCCTTGTAATACTCCTTCCACTAAGCCAATTATTGTTATTTGAATAATAAGAAGAACTGTATAAGATAATTTATATACTTTCATCTCCTAGTTAGTAATAAGACTCTAATAATTGAACCCTGAATTATATAAAATGAGATGGATTTGAACCATCCTGGGGTATAATGATTGGAAACCTGTCTGTGGTGTTGGCAATGTAGTTCAGAATGACCTTGTTAAAATAAAATCTCATCTCTACCATAGGGTGATGGGCAGCCCAAGGGCCACTCATTCAATGAGCACATCCTCAAATCTATCCTCTTATCCCCGTGTCCCCTGTTAAATTCCGGTTCAAGTCAACAAAATCTGTTACTCAGATGACTACAAAAGCCTCCGTAAAGATCTTTTTGTTTCCAGTCTTGCTCTTCTAAAATCAATTTCCAGCAGAGTGGTTCACATCGTTCTCCTGCTTAAAATTCTTCAAAGCTTCCCATTGTATGTAACAGAAAAATTCAAATTCTTTATCGTGGCTTGAATGATTCTTTACTTTGCTTGGAGCCCTGCCCTGTCCACCTCCCCCCAGCCACACTGGCCTTGTCTGAGTCCTTCAAACCAGTGCCATCGCTGAGCCCTGGGCCCTCGTCCTTGTTCTCCTCCCGGTTGAATGCGCCACTCTGGCTTTTTCAGGTCTAAGTTCAAGTGTCACCTTCCATATAAGAACTTTCCTGAGCATTCACTTAAGAATATTTCTGTCTCACCCTGGTTGTTGTGGTTCAGTGGATTGAGCGTG